GAGCCGCAGGTTGCCGACCCCTGGGTTAAGGTGTGAGGTGAGGAGCGATACAGAGAGCAAGCTCGTCATTTTTCCCCAGCGTTGATCGGGTTGTGTATTATGAATTCGACCCCCGGCCGAGACTATCGATGCAGAGCTGTAGTGCACTGAAGTGTCTGAGGAAGAACGTTCAGAGAAAATGATCTGGACTCGGAGTGGCAGCTCAGGTGAACGTTAAGCTGCAGGATCGCCATTTTGAGACATGGACGGAGTACCAGCACCCACTGCAGCTGCTCAAGTGCTGAGAGACATTCCTCTCAGTTCCACTGAGAGATCTAAAAATAGCAGCTTTGCTGAAAACAGTCCAGTGGTGTATGAGTCACTGACCTCGAACGTGAGATACGCCAAATTGAAATCTTGAAAGGCTTTTGATTTTTTTTGTTCTTGTTCTCAGAACTTTTTGATCACACCTCGTGCTGACCAATAATGTACTGACAGCAGTCACACAGGCTAAACAAATACACAGACAGAAGTGGTCTGCAAACAAGTTATGCAATACAAACAGATCCAGAGAACAGTTGACAAGACATTTGGGATCACACATGGGCATGTTGAGACACAGACAAACAGGCAGACAGACAGACTCATTTTTCCACTAATTCACTGACACGGCACTCATTTCATGGTAATCATCATCTTGTGAGCCCTAAACAGTGCTGAGTGCCAGAAGAGAACCAAACAAACTCAGACTTACTCTGAAGTTCAAAGCCATCAAAGGCGAACCAGTCTTCTCTCTCCCACAAGGCCGCCTGGACTCTGCTCAACCTACCAACCTGTCAGCTCAAACTTCTCACAAACCCAAAGACTGACTGCAGTGAAATGGGACCAAAAACACTGGGAACAGCTTTTCTTTACCATTTACTGGTGTTTATGGTAGTGTGTGTGTGGTTAAATGCACCACTGACCTTGCGGATGGGGACAAAAAAGTGCAAGGCTCATAAATCATACTGGAGAGATCACAAAACTGTAATGGAAAATAATGTGCTCAGCAGCTTTAGTCTAACCCCAGTGATTCTGGAGATTAGGGTTTTATAAGTGTGAATTTTGAGAGGCTGCTGCTCTCAAAACCCGTACACATAGCAGCTCGAGTACACCACAAAAAGAGGGTGTTTTTTTAAAATGATTACGGAGGTGCCCCACTGCCTTTAAAAACCCAACAAAGAGAATAAAAAGAAACATTTACCACTTTAAACTTCCTTTGCCCTTTTAAGGCACAATATTTACACACTGCCTGCCAAGGAGCTTGCTTGGTGTTGGTCTGGTTTCTTGACTGTGCCAGGAAGACCGAGTACTATTTCCAAACAGCAAACTCTATCACTATTATCAGCATTAAAGAATAATATACAAATTAAACTGTGGCTTTAGCTTTCTGTCCAAGTTTTGAGTGTGTTTAAAGACAGCAATCAGAGCTATTAATCCTAATGACATCCCCCTTTTCCCTCAACATTTTTCCCGATGCTCCTTCGGAGCAGCAACTTCACAGATTAGACAAACTGCCGCTTTCTATGATGGGAAGTGAGCTTTGGCCTTGGACTTTGTCTCTCAGGAAAAATAGAGAGGCCCGATTCAAAGAGAAACCCAACACCCGATACCAGCCCTCCACACAGACGCAGTGTGTGACATTTAAAGGTGAGCGATGTGTACGGTGGTGTAAGTGCAACACAATGGTATAAGTGTGTATACACACCTGTGCATAGCAACAATCTGTGTGTGTGTGTTTGCATATGTATCAAGTGTAGGGAAACCAAGGCAACCGTAAGCAGACATATGGCCCACATGTCCAGCAGATCCGCTGGGACTCTTTGTAACTTGGAGCCTGTGGGAGAGCATGTGGCTGCGTCTCCTACTGCTGCTATCAAGATGATTCCCAGAATGACATTTGTAGACATATTCCCATGTGTGTCCTGCCTGACACTATACGTAAACTCATCCACGGGCCACATTTACACAAGTGCAGGCATACACATACAAGTGTATATACGATGCATGCTCTGCAGAGATGGGCCAAGCCATAACCAAATGCAAGACCCTCTCACTTGTGTGAGAAAGTGGGACTGTGACAGGATGACAGCCTTAATCTCCGGTCTGTGGGGACAGCAGTGGTATTGCTGCTAATGTCTGATGCATGGCTCTGCATTGTCTTTGCAGTTAACCGTTTTATTATGAGAACAAAGAGGGAGCAATAAAAAGAAGCTTCTTTCAATAAAGGCTCGCTTGCACAACTCTCTGCTTTGAGGAGGAATGCTGTAAGAAGCTAAGCATTAGAAAAATAACACACTGGTGGGCTGCGTATTATGAAACTTTAAATTTAATGCTAGCCACAAAAGAGCCATGACAGGGATGAAAACGAGTTATTGATGCTACTTATTAAAAAGATCACGAGGTGTCTTAATGAACAGAAAGAAAACTGTTTTTAAGTAGAGAATGAAAAAAAACCATCTGCCAGTAAAGAAATATTCACAGCACTTTGTACCCTTGCAAACACATATCCCACATCAAATCTGCCAGGCAGTGCAATGCAAAGAGTACCTGTCAGCGTCTTTGATGACATAAGGCCATGGAGGCTCATTGCTTCTCTTTGGACCATAGAAATCAGCCAAGATGTTTTCTGGGTTGTCCTCGTTTCCAGTCTTATTCAGTATCTGCTTGATTAGGCTGGTGGAGATGGGCACAGCGCAGTGCGAAGCATCTTCATCTTCCCTAAAAAGAGAAAGCACAAACATAAAATCATTACAATTTCCTCAAACAGAGTGTGACTGTGACGTGTGTTCATCGAGAAAGTAGACACCCTAGATTTGATAAGACATAAGAGACAACTCAAAGATTAGGAGATATCAAGTTCAGTGAAAGTGTGATAAAAGTAAATAAATAAAGGCACTGCCTGTGACACAAAATCATTTTTCCCCAGCAAATCTGGCTTGGCAGTATGTTATTTTACACCAGAAACAATTCAAATATACTTTATTTCACTATAAAACAAGACATCCTTTGACAACATCTGACTACTCCCATTGTTCTTTTCGATGCAATTAAAGTGACCCCTAGCTACACTCCACTTTTGCCCTGAAACCTTGAAGCGGGTTCAATCTGCCTTTTGTTATGGACTCCTCTTCATGACATGCAGTCTTGTCTTACAAACACTAACTCATAAGGATCAGAGAAAAAAAAGCTAAATGGCAGTAAATAACCCCACTGAATACCTAGGTCCCAGACACTGGTCAATTATGGCTTTGCAACAACAAGAGAAAGAAATCCAACAGTTTAATAACTTCTTCTCTTTATCTGGGCAGCATCCAGTTCCACTTGGCCAAAGCAAAGCAGCCCCTTGCCCCAGAGCAGTAGTTTATTAATAGAGCCCATTGTGCTATAAAGGGAACACAGGGGCTATTGCTTATGGATCTAGGGCAAGACAGACGAGAGGGACAAGGTGTTGACGGGAAGCTTCTCATCCAGAGCAGTTCCTGAGGGGGAAAACTGGAAGAGGCTTCTGATTGTAACTCTTGATCTTCTAATGTGGTGGCCAGAACGAGGAGAGCAGGACACAAGAGTTCTGGTTAAGACTTGTCTGTGTCTCTTGTGCGGAGACCACAGCTCTGTTCTCTACCTCGTCCATTAAAGCCCACAACTATGCGTAATTACAGGAAGGAAAGATGAGCTGTTGACCAGCGAACAGACTGGATGTGTCCTAGGGGTTTGGGGTCGGGGGGAAGGGGGGCCTTGTGTGCATCTGTACGAAATGTGTGTATGTTTACAATTGTGGCTTGTAGTGTGTGCTTATGAGAACGGAGAGGGATGAGGGATGGATTGAGCTGCGGGGGACAGGAGAGGAGAGTATGCAAGTTTGTGCGGTTTGAAACGGTTTAGGCAGCGGACGGATCGTAAACACGAGGAGCATTGTGGTTGCAATCTAGAAAGACAAGACACTTAGTTCTTTCTGAGCTTGCTTTTTGTACAACTGAAAAGGATTTATCTTCAACAGCAGGGGCCAAATACATTCCCAGTCACTGTACAGCCACTGCGGTTCCTTTATGGCAGCTGAAATCAAAACAAACTTTGTGACTAGATATCTAAACACAACAGTTACAGCAAAAAAAAAAAAAAAATCTCTCAGGGAGAGTCAATTACACTCAACGTTTACTCTGTTTATTCAGATCACCACCACTTGCTACCAAAAGGTTGACCCCCCCACCCCCACTTAGCACCCCCCCCTTATGTATTTGCATAAAACAACTTAAATTACATTTGGAAAGATAACAAATATAGTAGAAGCAACAACAAAACAATATGTGCATGTGGTAGCTATTTCCCTTGGGGCCACACACACTGAAACATAAACACTTCTGTTACTGAACGACACCATGCGCCAAAACACATGCCATGTACATATATATATGACATGAAATGAGGTGTAGTGGTGATGCTAGATAAAACATATAAAATACAAATGAATTTCTTAGCATTTCTTTGATGGACTTGGCTACAATGATAAATTGCACAGTTATTGGTTTCTTACACAGAGGCTATGGGAAATATGTGCAAACACATAAGGACAAACTGGGGCGTAGCAATGATGTATGTGACAGCCTCTGCCCATGATGAAGTGGCATCTGTCACACTTACACTGGCACATTTCTAACCAAGACAATGACAGGCACGGACCACACACAGACACCGGGCTAGTGCGCATACATTTTTTACCTCACACAAACGTAGACATAAAAAAGTATTATTTCTACACACACAAACTACTGGAAAAAAACTGCTTTGCTGGGGCTTTATCTAAATGAGGTGTAACGATGGCCCCACCTAAAATGTCAGAATTGAAGCTATGTGTCAGCTGCTGCCAAGGTGGCTTCCTCTGTGTGTTGGTTCTGTGTGCGTTCCCAGTCTACGTGTGAAAATGATATCTCATGCTTCCTGAACCACTCTTTCACAATTTGAGCTTGACACATCCTGCCACTGTCATGAGAAAATACTGAAAAACCCTGTCATTCAGTATTTTTAGGCACATAAAGTTGCTAAACCTACACCTAAAAACCACTGGAAGGTGCTCACCTATTTGCCATGTGGTGAGGTTTTTTTTTGTCTAGGCAGTGCACAATAAAGGCAGTGCAAAAGGACTAAAACAACTAAATTGGACACTGAAAATATCCGCTGGAAGAGAATAGTTTTGGTTAAGACCAAATGACAAGAATATGAGGTTAAACTGCATCCTAGCAAGAGCCTACCATCATCATTAGGAGTGATGTCAGATGTGCAGAAATTGTAACATGTAACATGTTTGTGAAGCTGAGGTGTGTTATATAGTGTTTCATAGATCTTAAGCATGAAAAGGTATTAGACATTACTTGAACTACTATGTCCTTTTTTGGACCAATGCATATTTCTTTTTCTACCTGGCTTGGAAAGTGAGATGGTGGGTGAGGTCAGCTTCCGTGTTTAGCAGGGGCTCCTGGTGACCCTGTCCACGTATTAGCTGGCTTTCTCGCAGTCCGAGGCTCCTCTTCTCTATATGAACGATTAGAGAGTCCGGCAGGTGGCTCCTCATGACAAACAGTGGACTGAAAACCACCTGGAACATGGTTTCCATACAGAACAATCAATGAAAAGACAAACTGATGAGAGCAAAACTAAATCAGGAAAAATAAAGATTACACCAAACATGTAAAGTTCTTAATCTTAAGTGTTGGATAATTACTTAGTTCCCAGAGATCAAAACAAAAGGGTTTAAAATATTCTGTAACAGTAAATATTGTAACAGATGCTCACCACTCTTTGCTGCATATGAGAGTTGGGTTCGATTGTGATGAGTGTGCACAGAACATAAAGCAATGAGCCATTAGAACAAGGCACCTGAAAGGAAACAAACTAGCTGTTAGAAGATATCAATACCAAAGAAGCCTGAAGGATTTTCAACAAACTTGACCTCTGACCTTGACTTTGATATTTGGTCATATTTGAACTAGACTGAGCATTTTAACAAATGCTCCTATGATATGAATTTGAAAATTCTATGTCGCCTCATTCTTGATCTATGTGTTGGGTGTTCATGCCACCCGCCTGGCTGCCTGCCCACAGAGTGGGATGATGACACTGCCCCATGAGCCTTTTATGACTGATGGGAAGTTGCAACGCTGTGTAAAATGCAAATAAAATAGAAAGCAATAATTAAGAAATCTCATAATCTCATATTTTATTCACAACAGAACACTGAAAACATTAAATGCTTAAACTGAGAAAATGCACCTTTTTAAGAAAAATATTGGCTCTTTTGGAATTTAATGGCTACAACACGTCCCAAAAAAGTTAGGAGAGGGCAACAAAAGACCGGAAAACTAATTGGTACTAAAAAGAAACAGCTGCAGGAACATTTTGCACTAATTAGGTTAACTGGCAACAGGGCCGTAATGTGAGTGGATACAAAAATGCAGGATTTCTCAGAAGAAAAGATGGGCTTCGTTATGCAATCTGCAAAAAAAATATGCATCAATAAATTGTGTAGCAATTTCAGAATAATGTTGCTCAATGTGAAATTATGAAAATTATGAATATTTCATGCAGTATCATCAAAAGAATTAGAGAATCATGAGAAATCTCAGGGAGCAAGGCAAAAGGTTGAAAATCAATAATAGATGCCTGTGTTGGTTAGGCCCTCAGGACGCGCGGCGATAAAAAAAGGAGTGATTCTGTCATGGAAATCACTGCAGGAGCTCAGGAACACTTCCAGATTCATTTTCTGTGAACACAGTTTATTGTGCCATCCACAAACACAGGTTAAAACTCTATCACGCACAGAAGAAGCCATATGTGAACATGAGCCAGTAATGCCAGTGTCTTCTTTGGGCCAAAGCTCATTTAAAATGGACTGAGGCAAAACTGCTCTGTGGTCAGATGAATCTGATGATGTGTGGGTGCATTATTATCTATAGAATTGGTACCTTGCACATCTGGAAGGGCAACATGAATGCTAGAAGGTTTTAGAGTAACTAAAATCGGGGCGAATCGTGGCTCAAGAGTTGGGAGTTCGCCTTGTAATCGGAAGGTTGCCGGTTCGAGCCCCGGCT